CCCTCCCCTCTATAAAAAAAAATGCATTAAACAAAATGAAAAACTTTTTTGGTTTTTCTTTTTCCAGCGAATCAATTTAGACTCCAGAATTTTTTTTTTTGCGTAATTATTGATATAAAATTAATTCGTTTTTAATGCAACAAACAAAGAAACAAACAAACGAACAAACAAACGTGTTTAAAAAAAAACACGAGCAAAAAATTTTTAAAGAAAACAAACAAACAACAAACATTTCAGGTATTTTTCTTTCATTTTTTTTTCTTTCTTTCCTTCCGTTTCCGTTTTTTTTTCGGAGAATTTTTACGCGCGTACAAAACGCGCGTTATTTATATATACACAATAATAATAATAATAATAATAATAATTTTTTTACGGACGGATAATCGAAGGATGAGCGCGTTTTTTTTTCTATCCATAAATAACTGACTGATAAGCGATACCAGCATCCAAAATTCAAGATAAAAAAAAAAATTTTTTTAAGTTCAAAGCTTGCCATCCCCTCCACCACCACCACCACCACCACCATCACCAGCGCCACCGCCGCAACCGTCAGCTCAAATTTTATTTTTTTAAAAAAACTCAAGGAAGTGACGTAATTAAATTATACCGTTGACTGACATTATAAAGTTAAATTATGACGTTTTTTTTTTTTTCTTTTTTTTTGTGAGAAAGTAAATGAAAAATTAACCGTTACAAAAAAAATTTCATTTTAAAAATTGGCGGGAAAGAAGGAGGAGGAAGCGGGGAAAAGGAAGAATTCGAACGTGCGGGTTTTATTTTTTTTATTTTTTTTTTTGTTTTATCGATAAAAAAAAATTTCTCGTGGAAGGTTTTTTGGAAAATCCCTTTTTCACCACCAAAAAAAAAAAAAAAAAAACGTTAAAATTTGCGATCTGTCGTCCGTTAATACATTCGAAACTCCTCCCCTCCTTCTTCCCTCCCATTTCCCCGCCTCTCACGCCTCCCTTAGAAAACGAAATAACGAACAAAATGTAATTTAATAAATAAAATAAATTTTTTCATCACTCCTCCCTTTCCCTCCCGAAAAAAAAATACAAAAAAAAAAGTTTTTACACTTAGATGAAGTGCACGTGTCTTTATCAAAATGTTATCAGTATTCACGACAACAACCGACAACCCCTACAAACAACAACAACAAAAAAAAAAAAGAACATTACTCTATCGAAAGGTAATAATAAAAGAGATACATTAAAAAAAATGTTAACTTGTTGTCGTTGCTGTTGTTGTTGTAAGAAGTTTTCCTTTTTAGGGAAGAGGAGGGGAGGGAAGGCGAGGAAGGGGAAGCATAATCCTAAAATATATTATCATTACATTTTTTTATAAATATTTCATGATGGAATACGAGAAAAAGAGGATTAGTAAGATAACTGAAACGGATAAAAAAAAAGAGACAGAGAAAGAGAGAGAGAAAGGGGGGAGGAGGATAAAAATGCAAGAGATTAAAAAAAAAAATGGCGGAACATTTGAAAACACGCACACACCCCCACACACACAGTAACAAACACAAACGCGGTATTTAAATAAAAAATTTAAAAAAAATTTCATTTGGATTTAATATTTTAGTATTCGGCTACTATAAAAAAAATTTTTTTTCCTCTTCCTTTTAATAAATATAGCGCTATAATATTTATAGCTTTAATTATTTATAGCGATATATCGATTTAATCTCGAACGATATATTTTTAAAAAAAATAATAAATAAAATTTTTCTCTCTCTGTCGTGGTTGTTTTTTTTTTTTTTTTTTTTTTATCTAAAAAGTTTAAGAAGATTAAAAAAATTAAAATTTTTAGAAAAAAAAAAACGATTGTAAATCGATCGATCTATCGATGGATAGATCGATTGATAACTATTATTAACTTTTAAATAATCTATTAATTAATACAAAGAAATAAAAATATTTTTCTTCTGACCCGATATTTCCTCGCTTTTCCCAAATTAAAAACGTAAGAGTTTTAAATACATGGAAAATGTAAAAAGATTAAACGAGATGGTTGTTGTTGTTGTTGTCGTTGTCGTCGTCGTCGGTTGTTGGTGCGGTTTTAACGAGAACAAAACCCTCAAAACAGATTTTCGGTTCACATGACCAAAAAGAGGATTTCGCTCTTACCCCTTTTTCTTTAAAATAATAATAAATTCTTATTATTCAAAATTTTAAAAATTGCCTTCTTTTGAATTAAATATTATTAAACAATGAAAAATAAAAGGCCGAAAGCAGGGAGAGGGGGGTAATGAGGAAACGGAAACGGAAACGCGAGGATAAGGAAAGGAAAAAAAAAAAAATCCGCGGTCAAAAGGTTTGTAAACAAAAAAAAAATTACTCCCTACCGAATCTCCCCCACCACCACCACCATCGACTTTGAACGTGCATTTTTACAGAATCTGGAATCCACCACTCCACCGCCCCCCCCCCCGTCTCTTAGAAAAAAAATCTTTTTTTTTTTTTTTTTTTTTTTAAATATTGAACACACCAATTAGGTGGAAATTGTAGAAAAGTTTTCCTTTTTTTTTTTTTTTTTATTTTCCTTTCCTTTCCATTCATTCAAAGGATTTGATTAATGGTTTTGACCTTTTGTTACTTTTGGGAAAAGTTTTAAGTGATTTTTTTTTTTTTTCCTCTGGAATCCCCAAAATGATTATTATTATTATTATTATTACGGATGAGAGTGAGAGTGAGAGTGATGGGGAGTGAGAGAGAGAGAAAGAGAAAGAGAAAGAATGATTTTGAATTTTACAGGGATTTAAACCTTTCAAAACATTTCGATAGTTTAAATTAACCGAATCGAACAAAAAGGAAAAAACAAAAAAAATTTTCCTTTTTCTTTTTTATTTTTAATTAATTACACATTAAACTACCGGTAATTAATTTTTTTTTTACCGGTTAAAATAAAATCAATTTTTTTTTTTTTTTCTAATCATCGCCATAATTAAAATTTTACACCTGATATACATCTTGATTTTTACCAACACTCCCCCCTTTCCTGCATACGCCCCTAAATTTTTTTTTTGACACATAATCTATTATCTATTGATAAGAGAGAGAGAGAGAGAGAGAGAGAGAGAGAGAGAAACAAAAAAACAAAAATTTCAGCGCGAGAAAGTCGAAAACGAATCGAATTAAGAAAAAAATTTCAATTTCGGTTGCTGGAAAATAAATAAAGGGTGGGGAGCAGGATGATAAAAGCTAAGTAAGGTGGTGTAAGGAAAAAAATTTGTCCAGATACTGGAGAATTTTTTTCCCCCCTTTTCCTTTTAATTTAAATTAATCAGAATCGGTAAAAAATTCATTATCATCATCATCAATATCATTTTTGTTATTATTTTCCCACGATTGTTTTTCCACCGGTTTTTCCTCTTCTTATTTTTATTATGTAAAAAAAAATTCCCCCCCCCCGTTTTATTATTATTATTATCATTATCATTTGTTTAACTCTTGAATAAAATTATTTCTTTTTTTTAGAAAAGGAAAACCGTTAAAAGTAATTTTTTTATTTTTTTATTTTTCCAGGTAGAAAAACGAGAAATCTCGAGTTCAATAAAATTCCACCCGGAGCAGAAGAATATAATTTAGGTAAGAAATATAACAAACAAACCAACAAACAAACAAACAAAACAAACAAAGTCGGAGGGGAGGGTGGAGGAGAAAAACAATGACCGCAATTCGCTACGAATCGATAATAATAATAATAATAATAGTTAACCTCTGGATAATATTATTACGACTTATATATAATCACGATATTTCTTCTTTTTTTTTTTATTCGGAAAATTCCAGTTTTAATTTTTTTCTTTTTTCTCTCTTTTGATTATCATCATTATCACTAATTATTATCATTATTATTATTTTTTTCCCAGAATCTTTGATGCCGAGATTTGCCGAAAGGATTTTAAACGTGACAGTGACCGTTGGGAGAGATGCTCTCTTGGCCTGCGTCGTCGATAACCTCAGGGGTTTTAAGGTAAAAAAATTTTTTTTTTCTCTCTCTCCAGGAATTTCAATTTATAACCTGGAATTTTTCTTTTTTTCTCCAAACGTCCAGAAAATTATAAAAATTTTAAATTCCAGAAATATTTAAATTCATTTAAAAAACCAAAAAAAAACAAAAAAATTTAGATAAAAAAAATATAATGATGATGACGATGATGATGTTTCCAAAAAGATTCAAATTCACTGGAAAAACAATAAAGGCCGACTGGAGAAAAAGAAGAAGAGGAGGAAGAGTGGAAAGGAGAAAGAAAGGGGAAGGGAAGAAATGCATAAGGAAATTTCGTTCAAAAAAAATTTTTTCTCATATTAAATAATAACAGACGAGAGGGTGGTCAAAGCTGATAAGGGAAAGATGGGAAGGGGAAAAGGGTAGAGGGAGGGAGCGGTAGAAGGAAAATAGAAAAAAAAAAATTTTCTCGTTTTCTAGAAAAAAGAAGAGAATAAGATAAAAACCGAATCAAAAGGCTTTACTAAATGTAAACTAAAAACTTTAGTTAGAGCTTTTCCAAAAGCGCAAAACCACTTTTGCTATACACACCTAAAAAAAAATTAAATAAATCCCTCTTGAGACAAAAGTTTTCCACTCTCTCAATCCTTGGAAAGTTAACTGGAGAAGGATTTAAACGGAGCGAGAGAGAGAGAGAGATAGACAGAGAAAGAGAGAGAGAGAGTAAGCAATGAAATTTAGCCGTATTTCCCAAAGCCAAAATGTCTTTACCGCAAAAAAAAAAAACTTTTCTAAATTTTTAAGGATCAATTCCATACTGGTAAACTTTCTTTTTTTTTTTTTTTTCTTATAAAAATCAATTTTTTTTTTTTATTTTAATCTCGTTGAAGAAACGATTCCCCCATCTTCCTCCTCTCATCACTCCCCACTCTCCTCTTCCCCTCCTTTAAAAAAAAAAAAAAAATTCAAAACGATTTACGCCCGAATAAAAAAAAAAAAATCGTAATAACGTCTTAATAAATTCTTATAAAAAAAAAAAATCCGCCATTTTATTTTTTTAAATCTAAAATGATTGCGGGCAGATGTGTCAGTTTCCTTTTCCCTCCTTCCTTTTTTTCTTTTCCTTTTCCTTTTTTCCTTTTTTACCAAAAAAAAAAAAAAAATCATTCACGAATAATTTAAATCCATCGAAAGTGATAAAAACAAACACACGCAAAATGACGTCGAAAAATTCTTAACAAACATTGATAATAATAATAATAATAATAATCCCGATCTCGACCGAGTTCTTGTTTGTTAAAAAACGGAAACGAAAACGGAAAGTATTAATTTTTTTCCCACTTTATTTAATAAAAAAAAAAAAAAAAAAAATTTCATTTATTTACATACGTACATACATATACGTGTTCATTTAACGGTAAAACCGATTAATGATAATAATAATAATAATAATAATAATGATAACGAGGATAATGAGGATTCAAATAGATTTTTCTTTATCGATATCCAAATAATAATATTCTAGCGGGTCGTACCACACCTGACACCTTATCAAGTCGGCAATGGGATCGCAAAATTGTTCGCGATTGTCAACGAACCACCGGAAGAAACCTTTCAATTCCATCGAGAGTTCGTCGTGTTCCCACAATTCGTGTTCGGATACTTTTGGAAATTTATTCTTTTCGTTTTTCCACTTGATCGTCGATGACGTCGAACCCTCTTCGGTGAACGTTTTGACGAGAACGCGATTTTCGAAATAAGGATTCGGACCGAATAGAAAGTGTATTTTAAACATTTCCGGATTTTTATGGTCTTCTTCGATATCGAGGCTCGCCATGTATTTGATGACATCTTTTTCTCCGGGTTCGAATATGGATTGCAGGAGGGGATGATTGAAAAGTACGGTCGACCAAAATTGCGGAACGTTGAGTATCAACAAATTTCTATTTTTTATGTGAGGTCGAACGGATTGCATGTATTTTTCCTCAATATCGTTTATTTCTTTATCGCATTTCATTCTATATCCGGTTATTTCCGATTGACATTTTTGAATTTTATCAATGACCGTTAATTTTGACGATGACGATTTTAAATTTTGATTTTCTTCTTTTGACATAATTTTTTCTTTCTCGATTACTACTCTTCACGCCGCCGCTTTTTCCTTTACTTACGCTCTCTATCTCTCTCTTTTTCTCTCCCTTCTTTTCTCTTCTTCTTTTTTCCTAACTCGTTTCTCCAAATTCCCTCTCCCCCCTCAAACACGAGAAAAATCCGAAAAAAAATTTTACAACGGAAGAAGAAAAAAAAAAAAAAAATGTAAAAAACGTGTGCGAGTGGTTATTCAAAACAATAATACTGATAATAATAATAATAACAACAGAAGCAAAAAAATAAAATGTAAACAATCGTCTCGTTGCCACGTCAAATACAAACCGGAAACTCAATTTTCGAACACACGTGCGAAAAAACGATATCGAATTAAAATAATTTAATATTTGTTAAGATTTTTTTCTCTATTTTTTTTTTTTTTTTTATTAAAGAAATCCGACGCCGCCGAAATATTAAAATACATTTTTTTTTCGGGGGGGGGCAATGGGAGTGAGGGGCGGAGGGGGTGGGAAGGTGTCGCATTGTAAATTTTAAACAATTTAATAATTTTTTCGTTTTTTTTCTTTCTTTCTTCCCTTCGTTATTTCCGAGACTAGTTTTCGCTCCGATTCTCTAGTTTTTCCGCGTTCTTCCTCCGCCTCCCCCCCCCTCGTTTTGAAAAATGAAATAAAGAAATGATAATAATAATAATAAAATCGTGCGATTTTTTTTTTTTTTTTTTTTTTTTTTTTTTTTAGATTAAGCGAGAAAAAGGTTTTAAAGTTCATAAAAATCGCATGATGCGAATCTGGAATCAGATTTTTTTCAAAAAAAAAAAAAAAAAAAAAAGCAGCTGACGGGCTGGAGAAAAAGGGAACAAAAAAAGAAAAAAAAATTGAGAAAGAAAAGAAAATTTTTTCCCCCTTTTTTCCTTTTTTTTTTTTTTTTTTTTTTTTTGTTAAATCGTAGGAAGATTTTCCGTGAAGATGGCATCGAAAAGTTTTTTTAACAAGACTTGATAAAAAAAAAAAAAAAAAAAAAAATCTTCTTACGTGAGAATCAATGATGAAAAAATAAAAAAAATAAAAAAATTATTTTCGGTCTGGCGATTATCAATCGAAATTTTCAAAAAAACGAAATATTAATAATAATAATAATAATAGTGATTTTTTTGTCAAAAAAACAAACAAACAAACGAACGAACAAACGAACAAACTGGAAAAATAAAAAAATAAATAAATAATCAAATTATACGGAAAAAAAAAAAAAAAAAATGTCGGAAAGTAAATAAAATTTTGTGGGAAACGTAAAAAAGAGAGAGAGAGAGAAAGAGAGATTCAAATCCCGAGAGTGACTTATTTATTTATATTATTATTATTATTATCGTCATCGTCATCGTCATCGTCATCATTATTATTATTTTTTTTTTTTTTTTTTTTTATTCCGAGCGCGAAACGAGACGTTCGAAAGAACATGCATGACGTTCAGAACATGACGTTGTCTTTTCGATCAGATCAGAGCCGTCCTTTTTTTTTTTCCACGCATTTTTTCCGTTTCCTTCCACATCGCCTCACTCCCCTCCCCCCATTACCCTCCTTCTCCATCACAATATTGCTCACATCCCTGACTACATCCTTTAAATAAATTATTTTTTTAAAAATGGCGTCGCGAAAACGAAAAAAAATTTTTTAAAGTCGATACAATTTTCCTTTTTTTTTTTTTTCATTTGTTAATTTGACTTGACGAGTATTATTATTATTATTATTATTATTATTATTATTATTATTATTATTATTATTATTATTATCATTATTATTATTATAATTATTATTATTATCATTACTAATTTTGTGTTAAATAAATAAACTTTTAATTCGTCGGCAACAGGAACAGATGCTGCATTTTCGAAATTTTAGTGCATGTTTCGATTTTTTTTTTTTTTTTGTAAAATTTTAATCCCTCCTTAAAAATAATGTTAATAATAATTGAACCCGTCACGTGGTTTTCACTTTTTTTTTATTTATTTTCTTTTCTTTCTCTCTCTCTCTTTTTCTTTCGATCCCTTGTTTCCTCTCTTTTTGTCTTTCTCTCTCAATTTGGTTTTTTTATTTCTTTCAACTCACTTTTTTCCTTTCTCTCTCTCTCTTTATCGGTTTACTTTTTTGCTCTCTCTTTTTCTTTCGATTCCCTTGTTTCCTTTCTCTCTCAGTTTCCTTTTCTCCACTTCTTTCGACTCTTTTTTTTCTTCCCATTTTTTTCTCACTCTTTTTCTCGGCTTCTTTTTTTTTCACTTTTTTTTTTCTTCCCTTTCTCTCTTTCTATAGCTACCTCTCTATACCTAAGTATGTATATACATGTCTGTGTGAACCTCTCTTTCTCTCTCTCTCTCTCTCTCTCTCTCTCTCTCTCCTCTGTGATTTTTCGTTTTAAAAAAAAATTTTTACACATGCATACACCGTCAGTCGCATAAAATCATATTTACAAACGTTAATAATGACAACATTTAATAATAATAATAACAACATGTACGTACACGTACGTATTTGTTCAAATAATTAAAATTTGTTTATTATTATCATTATTATTATTATTATTATTATTATTATGGTCACTCTTAAACACGACAAGGCTCTTATTTGTCTTATTTGTTTATTATTATTATTATTATTTAAACAAAATCACGGCCGTAATTTCTAGAATATATATACATTTATATAAATTCAAATTTATTTATTTACATAACAATAAATAATTTTGATTATCGGAATGTATCTATCTACCACTTTGAGAGAAAGAGAGATAGAATAAAGAAATAAGTCACAGAGAAAAAGAGAAAGAGAAAGAGAGAAAGCGTGGGTGCGTGTGCGTGCGTGCGTGCGTGTATGTGTGTGCATCAGAGTTCATGGTTGGACGATTTAATTTTCAAATTTAATTAAATTCATTTAAAATGTCGTTTGAGAAAATTTTCATGTAAATAAATAAATTCATATTTTTCAAGTTGAAAATTTTGTCTCTCTCTCTCTCTCTCTTTTTTTTTTTTTTGTTATCATTCTCCCTTATCACACTCTCTTTCTCGTACACACATTCGCGTGTAAGAACTACCAAAATTCAAAAACAAAAAAAAAAAAAAAAAAAAATTTTAAATACGTAATAACTACTAAAAAACAAAAACGAATTGCTTCTGCTTTTGCTTTTGCTTCTGCTGTTGTTATTGTTTTTCACGCACGTAAATCAAATCCGTTTTCGTAATTTCATTTTAAATAAAGCGATATTTCAAAATAAAAGAGCGCACGCGACTTAAACTCTATAATAAGAATAATAATAATAATAATAATAATAATGATGATAACAACAGCATCAGCATCAGCAGCAGCAGAAGCAGTAACAACACGACAAGGAATTTCTTACTTACTTTTAACACGTCAGTTTAAAATGGATTTTAATATGGTGAAAACACATCAACGACGACTAAATTTTATAAATTTCCTTGCTTTTTACTAAATTCGATCGATTCGAACAAAGTTTTCCCTCCTCTCTACCCTTCCTTTCTCCCCTCCGTTTTTATACATATATATATCCTGATTTTGACAACAATTTATTTTTAACGAATTATCATTATTATCATTATTATTATTATTCCCGATTAATTATAAAATTTTCACTATTCGAATCAAAATAATAAGAATTTTGCGACGGTTTCGTTATTATTATTATTTTTACTAATTCGTGTTACTTTGCGAGTAAAAAACGTTACGAACGAACGAACGCGGCCTCGCCCCCCTACCAAATGAGTTAAAGAAAATCTATTATTATTATTATTATTATTAATTTGGATTACGTTCCGAAATCACATTTCGAAAATCAGATTAAGAATTGAAAAAAAAAAAGAAAAATGTTAAGGTAGAAGAGAGGGGGGCTGGAAAAGATGAAGATGAAAAAGAAAAAACTCATCCATCGTAATAATAATAATAATAATTTTAAGTGCTCCTCACTCCCCCTTCTCCCCTCTTTTTTTTCGAGCAGATAAAATATGGGGCTCTTTAGTCGAAAAAAAAAAAAAAAAAAAAAACTTTCGATTCATTTAATTAAGGGTTTCGAGAGTGGAGGGAGATTAAGGAAAGACGTTCATCGTTACCACTCACACTCCTCCCTTCCCTTCTTCTCCCCGTGAAATCCTTACGAAGATATACCTCCCCATAATTCTATCCGTCCGTAAATCGTGAGTCATTATTAATCTTCATTGCGGAAATTGATATTATTTATTTGGAATAAACAAATAAATATTTGATGGGAAAAATTTTTTGGTTGTTTGATCGTTTGTCGTGTGCGAGTTTGTTTGTTCAAACAACCGAGTTGTTTCGATTAATCGAAAAACCGGACCCCCCAACGAAAAAAAAATAAAAAAAAAAAAACCTCGAAAACATTTAATGATTTTTTTTAATACGAAATCTGGCATTAAACTACAATAATAATAATAATAATAATAATAATAATAATAATAATAATAATAATAATAATAATAATAATAATAATAATAATAATAATAATAATAATAATAATAATAATAATAATAATAATAATAATAATAATAATAATAATAATAATAATAATAATAATAATAATAATAATAATAATAATAATAATAATAATAATAATAATAATAATAATAATAATAATAATAATAATAATAATAATAATAATAATAATAATAATAATAATAATAATAATAATAATAATAATAATAATAATAATAATAATAATAATAATAATAATAATAATAATAATAATAATAATAATAATAATAATAATAATAATAATAATAATAATAATAATAATAATAATAATAATAATAATAATAATAATAATAATAATAATAATAATAATAATAATTAAAACATAACAATCGGAAATAAAAAAAATAATAATAATAGAAAATTCTCGAACTGGAAAAAGAAAAAAAATTTTTTTTTTTTCTCTCTCTTTCCGTCAGCTGGAAAATTAAAACTTTATTTTTTTTTCTTTTCTTTTATTACTTTTTAAAAATGAGTAAAAATTTGCCAAAAAAAAGAAAAAATTCCGAACAAAAACAAACAAACAAACAAACAGACAAACAAACAAACAAAAAAAAAGCAGATGAAGATGATTATGATGATGATGATGATAATGATTATGATTATGATACGGTCACGTTTGTATAAATCTTGGCAGGTTTTATCTTTTTTTGTGTGTGTGTGTGTGTGTGCGTTTTCCTTTTTTTCTACTTTTTTTTTATGAATTTCCTTTTAAATTTTTCCTTTGAAAAGGAAAAAAGGAAAAAAAAGGAAGAAAAAAAAAGAAACAATCAAAATGACTCTAAGCGATTTCTTTTTTTATTTTCTTTGGCAGATTTTTCCCCAAAAAAAAAAAAAAAAAAAAATATGGCACACATTTACTTTATGGCACGAAGATAAGAAGAAAAAAAACCGTTTTATTTGTAACTAAGACTTTCTTTTTTTCTTTCTTTCTTTTTTTTTGGTAGGGGAGAGCGATGAGAGGGGGTAGGGGGTTAAACCGTAGAAAAGAAAAAAAGAAAAAAAGAAAAGGCGGGTATGAAAATGCGGACAATTTTCCATTTTCTCGTCCTTTTCATTCAAACAATTTAAAATATAATTTACTTTATATTCATTTTTATCATCATCATCATCATCATCAATTTAATTTATTGCATTTTCTTTTTGGAATCATTCGTTGCAGTTCCAACGATGACGTCATCATTTAAAATTCGTTTCATCGTTTCAGGTTGCTTGGGTACGAGTGGACACTCAAACGATCCTTTCGATTCATCACAACGTGATAACACAAAATCCGAGGATATCGCTATCGTACAACGATCACAGATCGTGGTACCTGCATATAAAAAACGTCGTGGAAGCAGATAGGGGATGGTACATGTGTCAAGTGAACACGGATCCGATGAGGAGCCGACAGGGATATTTACAAGTTGTCGGTGAGTTGTCGAAAATTTTTTTTTTTTTTTTTCATCGACACCATCGAACATAACGTTTTACTCTCTTGTCCAGGAAAAAATTTTTTTTTTTTTTTTCGGAAAATTCTGCGGAAATGATGATCGAGTCGATGGCGTTAAATAAAAGTTTTCGTGCGGATAAAACCGCAACAGTTAAACAATAAAACCGAATAGAATTTCTCCAGTAAAGAGAGAAAAAGAGAGAGAGAGAGAGAGTTAAATGAATCGTTTGTTGCATAATATGAAAAAAGAGTGAGGGAGGGGAAGGGAAGGGAGGAAGCCATAAAATTATTTATTTTCGGAAAATGAAAATGTATACTCTGGAGTTAATAAAACAACAAGGTTAACCCCTTTAATTGTTTGACGTGTCAACAAAATTTTCATATAAACGTGTCACTTTACTCATTTATTCTTCGGATAATTTGTACTACCATTATTTTAAAACAATGAAAAACAAGCAAAAAAAAATTTAAAATTTTTTTTAATTTTCCCCCATTTTCCAGCGAAAATTTCAATTCCGGGAAATTTGTAAAACGTGTAAATAAATAACGGTTTGGTTAATTTTCGGGGTATTTTAAAATTTTCATTCTTATTAAACGTGAATTTGATGAAATGCTATGGGAGAAAAAAAAGGAAAAAGGAAAAAAAAAAGTTAAAAAGAGAGAGTGAGAGAGAGAGAAATACGTTTTTCCAGTAGTCCTGGAGAAAAATTTTAAAGTTTTTTTTTTTTTTTTTGAAAGGGGTCAAGGGCCGGCCTTTTAAAAAATAAAAAATTTATTGAATTTTTATGTCCGATAATATATTTAATTTTTATTTCTATTTAGAGAGAAAAAAAAAAAAAAAAGAAAAACGTCGTGGAAGAAGAATAATAATAATAAAAGTTTTCACGCTTTCACAAACTCATATAGCATTCATATCGGTTTAGCTTGGAAAAAGTTACGCACGAAAAAAAAGAAAATTTTTTTTTTTTTTTTTTTTTTTCAAAATCCCAAACACGTATTACACACGGGGATTTCGATTAAAAAAAAAAAAAAAGCAGAAGATGGTTGGTTTTCCCGGAGAAACTCTTTCCGGTTTGAGATTTAAAAAAAAAAAAAAAAAAAAAAAAAAAGGATCGGAAATCAATGAGCCCTAAAAAAAAAAAAAAAAATGAATGTGAATAATTCACGGTGTCCTGGTTCGGTGGTCACTGGATTTACGTATACTATAAATGTTTCATTCTTTTTTTTTTTTTTTTCAATGTTGTCACCTCCTTCTCCTTCTACTCCTCTCCCTCCCCTTCTCACTTCGTTCCTCTTTCCCCCTTGCACTTTTATCGCTTCCAAAACGAATGACCTCCCCACTAAAACGTTTTTTATTTTTTTTTTTTTTGTTTTACGCACCGAGACACTTTTATTCAACTGGAAAAATTACAAATTTCCCCCTCCCCCCAAAAAAAAACAAGAGCCCCCGCCTCCCCCTTTTGGGTTTCGTAATCGATGATTATAGTGATAATAATAACAGTTAATTTGAGAATGATTTTTTTTTGTTTGGGGAGGGGGGGAGTTTTATCGTCGTCACACAAACACACACACACATTTTTTAAAAAATAAAACAAGGAAAAGAAAGAAATTCTGGACAACTTTAACGACAAACACACGTGACTCGTCGGTGATGATAATATTAATAATATCAATTTACGACGCGGATAATTTTCAAAACATTTCCCTCCCCCCTCGCAATAAAAGTAATAAAAAAAAGAGGGGAGAGGGGAAGGAAGAAAGGTAGAAAACTGGGGGGGGGAGAAATTTTTTTTTTTCGTTTGTTTTTTTTCTCTATTGATTTATTTATATAAAAAAAAAAAAATTATTAACAAACACGGTTCAACGATCCAACCGTATGAATTTCACTAAAATAATAATAATAATAATAATAATAATAATATTTATTTCCGCCATTTTTATTCCGACTGTTTTTCATCATCTTTTTTTTTTTATTTTTCATTTTCTTTTAAACTCTTTCATCAGTTATTTCACCCACACTCAAATTTTATTTTTTCTTTCTTCGTACGTTTATTATTTATTTACTTATCATCATCATCATCCTTATTATTATTATTATTATTATTATTATTATTATTATTATTATTATTATTATTATTATTATTATTATTATTATTTGTATTGTTAAACGTAATGACGAATAAGAAAAAGAAAAAAACCTTTGAAACCATTTTAAGAAGGAAAAAAAAATAAAAAGAAAATGCGGTTATTTTAATATTCAGTTTCCATTAGAGAAAGAAAAAAAAATGTGGAGAGGCGAAGAGGAGGGGGGAACGTAGGTGGGTGGTAGGGGGCGAAATTTGAGGGCGGTGGGAGGAAGAAAAAAAAAAAAAGTTTTTAGGTGAAAATCGACTTTTGAAGGGGAGAGGGAAACAAAAAAAAAAAAAACGCGATTGTCTCCATCGAGTTTACGGTCCTGATAAGGGTTTCAAACGAAACAAAAAAAGGGGAAGGGAGGAGAGCGGTGGGGAGGAAGGGACAAGTTAAAATTTTACAATGTTGCCAACTTAAAAATTTTTTTACCCCCCCCCCCGAGACGTTTCGAGTCGATTTTTTTAAAACAAAAATTGTAGTCTATGTCATAATTTTGTTTCGTTTGTTGTTTGTAGTGCCACCGAGCATTGTAGATAAGGAAACAAGCACGGACATGGTTGTTAGAGAGTCGACAAACGTCACGCTTGTTTGCAAAGCAACCGGTTATCCAGAACCCTACGTCATGTGGAGAAGAGAAGACGGCGAAGATTTTAATTACAATGGCGAAAACGGTAAGAATAAAACAATAATTGTATTAAAACCGACCGGAGCCATTTTGAATATTATTATTAATAACAATAATGATAATAATAATAATAATAATAATAATAATGATGATGATGATAATAATAATAAAAAACAACGCGATGTTAAACAAAAGAAAGAGAAAATGAAAAAGAAAAGAAAAAGAAAAACACTTTGCTTTTCAATAACTTTTCTTTTTTTTCCTTTTTTCCTTTCCTTTTTTTTTTTTAATTCTCATAATTTCTTTTTACAAAATATAAATAAATAATTTTTTATTGTTTTTTATTTATTTAAACAAATGATGATGATAATAATGATAATAATAACAATTTAAACTAATAAAAAGGTTTTTTTTTTCTTTTTCTTTTTTTTTCACAAAGTGGATTTTCACGAATGAAAAATGAAAAAAAAAAAAAAAAGAAAAAAATTTTTTTTTCTTTTTCTTATGAAACAAAACAAAAAAAAAATACTTTTTGTAGTTATAATAATAATAATAATAATAATAATCGTGTTTACGTCATGTTTAAGAAACTACAACGATGATTATGATGATGATGATAAATCAAAAAATTCAATTTAAAAAAAAAAACAAAAAAAAATTTTTTGATACCGATAACCAGGGGGTGTTTTTAAACGACGACCTTAATACGGTACTACTGATTAATAATAATAATAATAATCCAACAACAACAACAACAACCTACAAAGATCAAACATTCGAAATACATATATACTTTTTTTTTTTTTTTAAACTAAAATTTAACGGATTAAACTTTAAAAAAAAAAAAAAAAAAAATTTTTATATCCGTTTGTGTTCAACCGTATAAATCCTCGTATAACAAATTAACGAACAATTTCAACTTTTTGGTTTTCCAAACTCTACGGTCGGTTTTCCCTTTAAAAAGGATTTTATGTAAACCCATATTTAGGGGGAGAGAGAGAGAGAGAGAAAGAGTATAGAAGAAATTACAAAAGTAAAAAACTTTAACTAAACTCTTTACTAATACCTTTTACTTCCGGTAAAACGAAAAAAAAAAATTTTTTTTTCATTCTTGATAATCTTTCGTCAGAGCCAAGAAAAAGATTAAAGTTTGTTACGTGTGTGCGTGCGTGTGTGCGTCATCTTTCGAAATTTCATATTCGGACCGTTATCAACAACAACAACAACAAACAACAAAAAAAATTTTTTTTTTGTAATGTAAAAATATAATTGTTTCGAAAACTATTTTTCCCAGTTTTACTCATTTTTTTGAAAAAATAAGTTTTTCGCAAATAATCGAATTCTAATAAAACCCTAAACGTTCGTTATTCACTTATACGAATACCATTTAATTAAAAATGTTTTTTAAAAAATAATTTTTTTTGATCGCATTCTAATAAAACCCGAATTCTTCGTTATTCACTTATACGAATTCCAATTAATTAAAAATTTTTTTTAAAAAAATAATCATTTTTTGGTCGCATTCTAATAAAACCCGAATTCTCCGTTATTCACTTATACGAATACCAATTAATTAAAAATTTTTTTTAACAAAATAATAATTTTTTTAAATCGCATTCTAATAAAACCCGAATCGTTAGTTATTCGCTTATACGAAAAACAATTAATTAAAAAATTTATTTTATTTTTTTGGGAAAAAATTAAATTAGCATCGTTTCTCTAAATTTTCGAGTTATTCTTTCTTTTCAACAAAAAAAAAAAAAAAAAAAAAAAAACAATATAAATTGTTTACAATCTTTTCAATTGTACGTATAAACTCTCTGGAATTCTCATGCTTTCTTCTGCTTTCATTTCTTCCGAAAAACGAGGGGAGAGGAGGGGGAAAAACTAACAACGAAAAACTTTTTCAAAAAAAAAAAAAATTTTTTCCTTCTTTTTCTTTTTTAATTTCATAACCGTGGTTAATTTCATTTTGATGTTATTATTATCATCATTATTATTATCATCATCAACTCTAACAACATAATGTTTTTCGTGATGAGTTTTTAATAAACTTATTATTATTATTATTTTATCAAACGGTTGATAAAATTCGATATGTAATATTATTAACATCATCGATTTAAATAAATAAAAATTTTTACGTTTCAATTTATTATTATTATTATTATTATTATTATTATTATTATTATTAGGACGCATTAATTATTACGGTTTGGTATTCGGGTAATAAAACAAGGTAATAAAATATTAATAAATCATTTGTTTTAAGTAAAGTGTGATAGAGTGAGAATAAAGTTAATAAAATCTAAAAAAAAAAAAAAAATTTTTTTTTATACGTTTTTAACTTTTCCTAGAAATCATATTATTATTATTACTATTATTATTATCATAATTCATATAAAAATAATAAAATTTCAAGGGGGATGGAGGGGGAAAAGGGGAGGGAAGGGAAGAAGGGGAAAATTGATATGATAATAAAATTACACGTTTGGGAGAGATTATATGATGTTTGGCCAGATGTCAATGCCTGAGAGAACGAGAAAATGTATTTAAGAGTGGGGGAGAGAGAGAGAGGGTAATAAATGAGATAGAAATAACGAGATAATGGCGGTGGTGGTGGCGGCGGTGGCGATAAGAAGAAAAAAGGACATGGAGAATAGTTCTTCTTCCTTCAATAAAATTTTAATGGAAATTATTTAAATTTGAAATTCTTGAATTTTCTCATCATTCCTTTCCCTCTTTCTTTTCTTTCTTTTTTTATTTTCTCTATGACGTCACGTGTTTTTTTTTTTGCATTTAATAGTCAGTCGTACTTGTTCGAAGTGGATAAAATCGATTTGATGATATTTTAACGTATCTTCGGGAAAAGGAAACTGAAAAGGATTAGAGACGAAGATAACGATGATGATGATTATGACGATGGTAATGGCGATGGTGGTGTTGGGGGGAGGGGAGTTTCGGTGGCGTAAAGTGTAAAAAAAAACCAAAATCATTCTCTCTCTCTCTCTCTCTCTCTTTCTAAAAAAAAAAAAAAAACTTTTCTTAAGGAAACAACTAAAATCAATTTTATTTAAAGTTTTATAATAAAAAAAATTTAAACCGATTGCCTTGAGCAAACATGGAAAATCTAAATTTCTTAAAATTTTCCTTAAAAAAAGAAAAAATTATTTAAAATCTCATTGTCAAAAAGTAAAAAGGATTTTCTCTATGGAATTTTCGGGAAAAAGATTCTGCTGAGAGAAAAAGAAAGAGAAAAAGAGATGAATAAAATAAAATTAAATCAAAAATAATAATAATAATAATAATAATAATAATAATAATAATAATAATAATAATAATAATAATAATAATAAAATTCAACGTGTAAATATTCTTCTTATTTTTAATAAAAAAAAAAAAATTTAAAATAAAATTAAACGAAATTTCGGCCGCCATTTTGTTTTTCGTTTTAAATACGAAATTAATTTAAAAAAAAAAAAAAAGCATCGTAAAGATGCCGACAATTAAATAAAAATTTACAAGATTAAAAGGTGTAAATAATGTATTAAATTCGCCGGACGTTCATAAACAACAACAAACAGAAGAGAGAGAAAAACAAACAAACAAACGCGTTACGGAGGAGTGCGAAAAGATGAGAGAAAGGGGGGAAAAGGGGGGAGGGGAATTAAGAAAACCGGATAACTAATGAGTTGCCCTTTTATTAAATACACGCATCACGAATTCGAACCATGAACTGAATTTCCTATACGATTTTATTGATTTTTATATTGTTAAAAAGAGTCCCTCACTCAGCCCTAAGGAGAGAAAATGGCGGCGGCGGCGGCGGCGGTGGCGGAAATAACGGCGGTACATATATAAAAAAAGATTTCTTATTTTTCTCGTCTTGTTACGCACGCACGCAAACACGCACACATCATTCAAATGATTGAACGATTTTTTTTTTAATTTTTTATTTTTACCCTTTTATTTATTCTATGCTTTTTCTTTTCATAGAGCCTGACTTGGGATTTACATTAATTAAATTCTTTCCTTAGATAGATAGAGAGTAGTGTTTCAACTAATTACCGTATAATAATAATAATAATAATAATAATAATCTCTTTTCAAAATCTCAATACTAATATGATGATTCTATATATATATATATATATATTAACCTTTACTTTTACTTTACGTTTACACGTTTCTATTACGTAACCCTGAAAAATGATTCTAAAGGGCGATGAAAAGAAATAATGATAATAATAATAATAATATAAATAAATAAATAAACAAATAAAAAAGTAGAAATAAATAAAGAAAATTTTAAATTAAAATTTAATTAAAAACCGAATTAATTTCATATCTTTAAAAATAACGAAAAAAGAAAGAAAGTAAGAAAGAAATTAATTAATTAATTTATTTATTTATTTATTAATTAAAATATCACTCAGAATTTTAAATAAATAAATAAATAATATTATCATCATCATCATTTCTGTTATTTTTTTTTTTTACAGTTAACGTCGTCGATGGAGAATCTTTTCATATCACTAGAATAAGCAGAATACACATGGGAGCATATTTGTGCATTGCATCGAACGGTGTACCGCCTTCCGTTAGCAAAAGAGTTTTGCTAAGAGTTCAATGTGAGTACAATTACGATTTCGAAAAAAAATCTAAGAAAAACACTTTACAGACGCTTAGACAAACGTTAAACACAGTCATTTTATATCGTTTTTTTTTTGCCCATTCGTACCCGGATTGCACTTTGAATTGCAGTTTTAAACTTTTTTGTGTTTTAAAAAAACCATTTTGACGTTTTATTTAACGCGTAACCCGTTAGTCTTTTTACTTTAAATTTGAAAAATTTCAAAAAACTATCTTTTACTTTTTCTTTTTCTCTCGTGTTCATCCGCCCCCCCCCCCGTCAAATTTCTTCAATTTCCCGAGAAAATTTAATTGCAAACGTATACCGCGAGGTATAATAATAATAATAATTCGTTTAACACCATTTTTTTTTTCTAACGCGAGGTCATTAAAGTTAAAAAAAAAAAAAAATGAATTCGAAATAAGAAAATATTGATGATAATAATGATAACATTTAAAAAGATAAAAACTATAATTATCAATTGAAAAGATAAATTTTATAATAACCGTTATTTTATCGTGATATGATCTTAAAAGGTTGGAAATTAACTTAAATCTTCAGGAAATTGATCATTTTCCTTTTTGAGATCCTTTTACAACAACGATTTTATTTTCTTATCTATCTCTATCTCTCTCTATATAAATAGATATATATATAAATATAAGTCTAAGAAGAAGAAAAAAACAATTTCATTTCTGTAGTTATTTGAAACTGACGTTCGATGACCTTTTTTTTTTTAAAAAAAAAAAACCCAAATTTATTTAGTTTTCGTTCCATGACAATCATTTAAAAAAGAAAAAGAAAAAAAATGGCGGAAAAATTCTAAAAAACAAATTTAAAAAAAAAAAAGAAAAGTTTTTTCTTTTTTTTTTATTTGGTTTTATATGGGTTTTGTGACCTTTTTTTTTTATTATTAAAAATGGCGGTTATTACGTTTTCAAAAAAAAAAAAAAATATTTCGTGTTTGTTTAATTTCCACGCGAAACAATTTAAAAATCGTAAAAAAAAAAAAAAAAAAAAAAAGAAAAAAAAATCTTATGAAATATTTATTTATAAATTATTATGAACGAATAAAAAAGTTAAAAAAAGAATTTTTAATGCCCTTAAATTTCTTTTTTCTTTATATTATTTATTTAAAATAAACGCGCTAACATTTAATTTTATTATTATTATTATTACTATTATTATTATTATTATTATTATTATTATTATTATTATTATTATTATTTTCATTCATGATCACGACAATTCCATTTCTTAATGTTTGACGGAACTTTTTTAACATTTATTTCAGGTTTCTACCCATCAATACCTAACAAATAAATGTCTAAATGTCAGTGATGATGCATGTCTGACCTTGTTATAATCTATGACATCACAACAATTCTTGTAAGTCTCACTAAGACCATCTTATTCGATGGGAACAAGTTATATCCTGTACTGGGCCTGTACTGAAGTGACCAGGAACAGGAGAAGTGAAATTTACAACCTTATTGAACTGACTCCAGTCAACAGTAGAACAAGATTTGTTTTAATTCTGTCTTTATATTGTTTTCATTTTGCTCTATTACAATTATGAATCAGATACCATGCAACATTTTTCTCAGAACTATTTCAATACTTAATTTTCCTACTATTTCCCCCTTTTATAATTTTTCCTCAAGCATTCCACCTTTTTATGTATACAAATTACAATTTTCTATCTAAAAACTTAAATACTCTGGAGACAGTTGAATTTTTCTAAGCTTATATGAAATTCAAAGAGAATTTTACACTTAACACATGGCAAAATATGTTATTATGAATCAAACTAATTTAATAAAAGGTTTAAAGTAATGTACAATCCATAGATTTACATTTAAAACATGAGTACAAACATTTTACATCCACCTGACCCAAAAAATTAATGGATAATAAGTATTTTTATTTAAATATTTCTATTTTTATTTAGTGTGACAAAGGTACTTAGCACTACTACTCATAAGCAGCTCAAAAAATGTAAAATTATAAAATGAAGTCCCCATTGTGTCTTTTCATAATACCTTACACTAAAATCAATTATTATACAGGTTACCAATTCCCCCTGACCTTGTTTTAGATTTATAGAGAGTATTACACTATCTCTATGATACACTACATTGTAATGAAATAAACTAACTTAATAAAAGGGTTAAAGTAACATCCAATCACATATATATCATATATGTGTATTATAGATTCACATCTAAAATCAGGAATACAGAGATTTTACATCCACCTGATACAATAACTTAACTAATTACAAGTATTTTTAATAAACTACCTTCATTTTTACTTAATATGACAGGAGTGTTTATGTCACCTACTCATAATTAGCTCAAGAGATGCACAATTACTAAATGAAGTCTGTTGTGTCTTTTCATATAACCTTACACTAAAATCAACTAACATGAAGGCTACCCAATTCCCCCTGACTTTGATACACATTTATAGAAGGTATCACACTACCTCTATGATACACTATGTTGTAATGATACAAACCACCTCAAGAAAATGCTTAAAACAACCAACAATCAGTAAATTTACACTTAAAAATAGGAGTACAAAGATTTTACATCCACCTGATGCAATGAATTAATTAATTACAAGTATTTTCACTAAACCACCTTCATTTTTACTTAGTATGACAGAAAGTATATAGTTCAACTACTTATAATCAAATCAAGAGATGTACAATTATAAAATGGAGTCTGTTGTGTCTTTCCATAATACCTTACACTAAAATCAACTAACATGAGGGCTACCCAATTCCCCCTGACTTTGATTTAGGTTTATAGAGAGTATTACACCATCTGTATGATACAGTATGTTGTAATGAAACAAACTAAATCAAGAGAAGGCTTAAAACAACCAACAATCAGTAAATTAACCCTTAAAGGTTAGAATATAGAAATTGCACACTGAGTTAGCACATTAAATCAATTATCATTAAATATTTTTATAAAATTACCCCAATTCTTATTTTTTATGATGAGATGAAAAAGATATTTACTTAAACGCCTCATAATTAAAACCAAACAAATGTAAAATTTTGTAAACTGTTTTTTGGCCATTTTGGCTCCATTTCTTCTTTATAGCCCAACGTTTTTGTAAGTGAAATACAAGTATGAAAATGTAAAACTTACCCCATAATAATCATATGTACTAAATCATCTTCTAATATTTCTCACTACCAACGCTTCCATTTATCACATGATAAACCGTTCACATTTTGTAAATTTAAACTTGAAATAACATAATTATTACTAAATAATATAAAAAGCTAATTACATCACAATAAACTAGACTAAATAACAAAACTTTTAACATATAACTAATAACTAAATTCTTAAAAAAAACTATTAAAATTAATTAAAATAATTTGACATGATGTAAACGTGTTTCGTCAACCACCATTGCACTACTGCGACCTCTATCTTTTATTTTTATTACTAAAATGACGTGACGTCAACAACAGGTACTATAAATTTTTCTTTTTTTTTTTTTTTTTGTTATTTGTAACAAAAAAAAAAAAAAAAAAGAAAATTTAATCGGAGTCAGACAGGAAATATCAATTTGTCATTTTTAAATGATAATGATAATGATAATAACGATAATAATAATAATAACAACAGAGAAATGATTCAAATATGATAAAAATAAAAAATTATCGTTATTGTATATGCTATGTAGTCTATGCTATGGAAAAAAAATATCTCGCATTTATTTGCGCGCGCGTGTGTGTGAGAGAGAGAGAGAGAAATATATATAAGAAATACTTGTCGACATTTTTCAAAAGAACCCTGGTCTGAAACCCTAGATAGTATTATTATTATTATCATTATTACAACAATTCTCCCACAATCATCTATTTTAATTATATTTTGAATGACCCTCAATTTTCTTTCTGGAAAACATTTTGTTTCTTTTATTATTATTATTATTTTTTTTTTCCGGGAAGAAAATTGTGAAAAAGAAGGAAAAGAAAGGGAAAAAAAAAGTTTTACAAATAGTATTATTATTATTATTATTATTATTATTATTATTATTTTCTTTTTATTTTCACTTTGGAAAAACAAAAAAAAAAAAAAAAGTCGATATAAACGAAATTTTATTTTTTTTTTGTACGGAAGAAATTTTCCGCCATTTTTTTTTTTTTTTTGTGTTGCCCCTGGAAAAACAAAAACTTACCACCACCCACCTTAGGCTACCACCACCACCACCACCACGAGTTATGTACAAATATTTTTTTTTCTTTTTTTTTTTTTTTTTTTCATATTTTTTAAAATAATAAGGATTAATTGTCTTCTTCTTTTTCTTCTTCCACGGCTTTTTTTTTTTTTTTTAAAGAGAAAAAAAAAAGTTATTATTTAAAATTATATATGCAATATTTTATATTATATTTATATAAATTACAGGTATAAAAAAAAAGAAAAGAAAGAAAAAAATGACGTAAACATGATGGAGAAAAAAAAGCGTAAAAAAAAAAAAAAAAAAATTTTTTTCTACAAGGAAAGAGAAAAAGAGAGAGAGGGAGAAAATGGAAGAAGAAAAGAAAAGGGGAAGGGGGGAACAACAACGACGAGGTTTATAATTTTTTTATGCGTTTAACCTCGTTTACTTAAAATCTATAAAAATTTATTTAATTTTTTAAAATATCCAAATAAATTTTTTTTTTTTAAAGGTATTCTTTTCCCCTTCACCCTCCCCCCCATTTTTATTCCACCCCTTCACCCTCTCTCTTCCTCATTCTTTTATGTCTTCCCATCAAGCTTTCCTCCTCCCCTACTTTTATTTCTTTCCATCACCTTTTTTTTTTTTTTTTTGTTAAGTTATGAGAAATGCATTTCGTAATAACCTCCTCACCCGGTGGCAGGGAGAGAGTGGGGGGACTCAGTCGAAGCCACTACATGACTAAAACTCCTGGACGTGTTTAAACGAGCTCTTTTTTCTAGAGGGAGGGCGCTCGTGGGTGTTTTAACCTGCGTTTCAGTTTCAATCCCTTCCTGAGCCAAACCGACAGGTTCACACTTGCGAAAGTGAGAATCCTACCTGTGAAAAATCCCGGTACTTTTCCTTTTTTCCCTTCGAGAGATTATCCCGATCTGTTACCAACCTCTTCCGTTATTCGTTCATCTCCTGTTTTTTTTTTACTATTACGTCGCAGCTCAGCATTTACCCCATTACTTCTTTACTTACTTTACTTAGTACTTACTTTCACTTCCTTAAACAAGGATCGGCGCATCCTCAATGCCTCGAAAGGGTGCTAGGTCGCTAATCTCCTTATGTAGGTACAGGTCTGTTTTTGTTTGGACGAGCTGAAATTGAACTCCCGCTTCCAGGTTTTGAACTCACGACTCTCAATTCGGTGACTTTTCCAGTTTCAACCTGCCTACCTCAGGCTCCCCCAAGGCATCCAATTCGAAGATTTACCTCTAGCGGACGCCTACGTGAGAAATCCAATCCCAAAACCCCCGCCCCTAAAATATCCTTTGTACCTACCCTCCGAGCCGTCGGATTACAAGACTACACCACCCCTCCCGGCTATATATCTCTTTCCATCACCTTCCCTTTCTCATAATTTCTTCTTCTTTTATCTCCCCCGCTTTCCCCTTCCATTTTCCTCGCATCCTTTCACCTCCCCCCACTAATTTCTCCTCCTACCTTATTCAACACCACCCGAATATAATTTACTTTTTTTTTTTCTTTCCATCTTTTACCTATAAAAAAAAAAATTCCCGTTTTTATAGTTTGCCGTTTTTTTTAAAGTCTTAAAATTATTATTATCATCATCATTACTTTTTTTCAGGGGGAAGGGGTAACACAAAAAAAAAAAAATTTTTTTTTTTATACGAAACGATCCGCCCTCCGGTATTTAAAATACACGACATGATATACATATATAAAACGTTATTAATAATAATGATGATGATGATGATGATAATGATGATAAAAACGATGACGTCAAAATCAAATTTTTTAAATATAATCGCGTAGAATTTTGCTAAAAGACTCGACGAAGAGCGTCGTCTCATTTACGACGAGTCGTTCTCGCGGTTATTCTCGTATCGAAATACTATCATTATTATTATTATCATTATCATCATTATTATTAAAAACAAATATATTAACTTTAAAAATAGTTTTATCGAGTTATCGATTGAGTCTGCTACGTTTAACCCGAAAATATTTTTATTTAAAAAAAAAAAAAAAATTTTCCGTACGTCGAATCAATTCGGAAAATTCGTTGCGGGTAATAATAATTAAATTTTTCAAAAAAAGTTTTTTTTATCATTATCATTATTTTATTTATTTATTTAAATCAAATCGTATATAAATAATTTATAAATAAATAAATAAAGAGAAAACAAAATAAACACAACAACAACAAAAAGAAAAAAGAAAGAAAAAAACCAAATAAAAAAAAAAAATCTACTGCTGGAAAATCTGATGAAAAACTTTTTTTTTCTGTTTCAAAAAAAAACGAGAGAGAGAGAGAGAGAGAGAGAGAGAGATAAGAAAAACAAAGAATTAAAATTAAAAAACAGCAAAAAGTTGTTCAAAAAACCGCAAAATGAGAGAGAGAGAGAGAATTTTTTAAACTAAAACAAAAAAAGAAGAAAATAAAAATTAACGAGAGCAATAAAAAAATATGACAAAAACAAAAAAGCAAAAAATTTTCTTTTTTTTTTTTTTTGTATCTTTCCAGTTGAAATTTATAAAAAATAATAATAATAATAATGATAGTAATAATAATAATAATAATAAAATGTTTACACACCTGTTTACATTTTTTCGACAGGTGATGATAAACTTTTATAATTTTAATTTCTTTTATTTTTTTTAATTATATCTTTGGATAACCGCATTCGCGCTCGCGTATACGACGATTCCCTTAACGATAGCAAATTTTTTTTTTTTTTAAACATTCGGCAAAAAGATAAACACGAGCAAAATATTTTAATACATAAAAAAAAAAAAAAAGGAAACGTTTATCAATTTATTATTTGCTTCGATTAAAAAATGAAAAAAATAAAAAAAATTTTCCGTTAAACGACCGCAAAAAAAGTTTTTTTTTTCGCTTCGGGTTTGGCGGTTAAGAAAAGCAAAAAAAAAAACTTTTTTTTTTTTTATTATCATTATTAATTACTCTTTCCCGACACAAAAAAAAAATTTCACGATGATGATGATGATGATGATGATAATATAGTCGAACCATATCGACGACGTCGTTTCTCGCTTTCCCCCCCCCTTTTTTTTTAATATTTTAAAATTATTTACCGATGGCAAAATTTATTAACCGCCGCAAAAAAAAAAAAAAGAAAAAAAAAATCGACGGGGAAATTTTTTTTTTTTCCATTGGGTTGTTCACCAACTTGTTACTTAAAAAAAAAAAAAAAAAAATTTTTTTAAATATTAAAAAAAAGCGAGGAGGAGAAAGAAGGAGGGAGGAAGTAGAAAGGAAATGAAGGGGAAGTAGGGGTGGGAAAAAGGGGAGGGGTAAATGTGAGAGAGAGAGGAGAGCGTGAGAAGTGAATATAGGAGAAATGGGGGGTGTGGTTAGGTATGAGTAGGAGGGGAAATGTGAGTGGTGAGAGAAATTGAGCGGCGAGAGGAGGGGGAAAAGAGAGAGGAAGTGGGGAGAGAGAGGGAGGGAGTGGAAGGGGAAAATTTTTTTTTTGTGAAAGAAATGTAATAAGTTAAAAACGCAAAAAGGTTTTTAATTAGATTTAAAATAAAAAATAAAAAAAAAAAAGAAAAAATTTTCCGCCATTTTTCTTTCAAAAGTCAGATGCGTGAATTATTTCATTTCTTTCTTTTTTTCTTCTTCCTCTTCATTTTTTCTTCTCTTTTTTTCTTTCCCCCCCCCCATCTAACCCTTCGTCCTCTATTTGACCTTTTCTCACGGCCTCTCCCCCGCCTTCCCCTTACGAAGTTTCTTTTTCTTTTTACATTAATAAAATTTCAAAAGTTTTCTTTTTTTTTTTTCTTTTTACCTTTACAGAAAAATTATTATTATCATTATTATTATTTTCAGTTCCTCCGATGCTTTCGATACCGAATCAATTGGAAGGTGCTTATCTGGGGCAAGATATATCTCTCGAATGTCACACGGAAGCTTATCCGACTTCAATTAATTATTGGACGACAGAAAGAGGAGACATGATCGTTTCAGGTATGAGTTTAATTAATAATTTTTGTACCTTAAACAAACGATGACAACAACGAAAAAAATCGGAAAATAACAAACACGAACTTGATGATGACGATAATAATACGTTAAACAGAGAAAAAAAAACTTATTGTGACGTCATCATAGAAAAAAGAGAGACACACATTAACTTAAGGTTTTTCTACGATTTTCGTTTCGAAATTTGGGAGAAGAGGAGAGAAAGGGAGGGACAGTAATAGTGATGAGGGCAGTAAGGAAGAAGAGGGAAACGAGGGGAAGGAATAGGATGAGAGGAGTGGGAAAGGAAAACGCGAAAGAAACCGAAAAAAATAAAAATAAAATTTTTTTTTATTACGAAAACCCGACAGCATTTTTTTTGTTAAAACGAAACGACGACAGGAAAAAAAAACTATGGTTTTTAATAATTTAGCCACAGGATTTTATATTTTTTTTTTTTTTTAATAACATTAAATTAAATTTTTTCTCTCCCGTCTACTTTGGCCATTTTCGTTTCGAATATTTTTAACGAAAATAAAAAAAATTTTTCAAAATGGCGTCCACGTCGTTCATTCGTTCGTTTTCGTAGGTTTAAATTTTCATTCCATCATTCATTCATTCATTCAATCATTTCTTCCAAATCAAATCGCATCCAGTTTTCCCCTTTCCTCCCTTTTCCTTCCCTCTTCCCCTCCCACTTCCTTTGAAATTTTTATCACTTTCCTACCAAATTATTTTCTCCTCTGCTTTTAATTTTTCTTTTGCCACGTTTAAATTTTTTTTTTTTTTAAATTCGACGATTAATTAATTACACCTATAATTTTACGCTTTCTTATAATTATTATTATCATAAATTTTTGTTTCGTTTGTTTTGTTATTAACAACAACCACGACAACAACAACAAACAATTTTTAATAAATCTTTTCTTTTTTTTCTTCACACATATCGATTCGTTATTGTTTTTTCCGTCGAGCGAAACACAACAACAAAATAAATTTTTTTTTTTGTCGTTTGTCACACGGAAAACAAACGACGGTTAGAAAGAGACAAAAAATACGCGAATTTTTCCTTATTATTATTAATAATCACGATTTGATTTATGACGGGGGGTTGGGAAAAGGGGGAAAAAAAGAAAAACGAAGACAGGTAGAAGTGGTGGTTATTATTAGTTTGTATCGAAAGAACGGTTGTTTAAAAACAACAACAACAACCGAAAACTTTTTTTTTGCTTTCTCCAACGCCCCACTACCCACCCCCTCGACAAAAAAAAAAGGATCGGACGGTTTGGAAAGGTTTTTTTTTTTTTTTTATAATTGAAAACTTTTTCATTATTTACCGCCTCATTACGTAAAACAAAATAATTAATTATTTAACGTTTTTCTTTTCTTTTTTTTTTGACATGTTTAAACAAATTATTTGTAATAATAGTGAAAAGAGAGAGAGAGAGAGAGAGAGAGTTTCGAAAACTTTTATTTTTGGAAAAATTGAATAATAATAATAATAATAATAATAATAAATGAAAAAAAATATCGTTGGAAAATATTCAACGTCATTAACATCGTTTTTGAAAACTTTTTCGTTTTTTTTTTCTTCTGCTGAAACGTGTTTGAGTATTTCTCTCTCTCTCACTCACTTTCCCCTCCATCTAATATTAACAAATATATACATTTAAAAAATTCGTTAAACAAACAAACAAACAAAATATTTAATAACGACTCAGTTAGATTTTTACGACTTTTTTTTTTGTTTAAATTTATTCCTTTCTCTCTCTCTTTTTAATTTAATTTTTCATTCAAAAATTTTTTTTTGGAAATCCCAAATTTTTTCACATATAATTTCATCGAACTAATATTTAAACATAGAAAACGGGAAAAGGGGAGAGGGGGGAAAAGAAAGAGAGAAAGAAAAATTTTTTTTGTCGTTCACACCTTTAAATAAAATAACAAACGAGCGAGCCTTTTTTTTCCCTACCTTTCCGCGTTTATTTTTTTGTAAAAAAAAAAAAAAAAAAAAAAAAAAAAAGAGAAGGCGAGAGAGAGGGAGAAGAGCAAAAAAAGGAAGTGAAACATAAAAATAAAAGGAAATGAAAGAATAAAAAAAAAAAAAGAGGAAGTAGAAAAGAAGGAAAATCTATAAGGCACGTTGATCTAAAAGGAAAATTAAAAAAAAAAAAAAAAAAAATTTTAATACAAAAAAACGAATTTTTTATACAAACACCAGATGCGAATGTCGTTTGTCTTAAACATGAAATACGACAATTTGTTTAAAAATTGTTTCGAATCCAATTCGCAAGGGAAATCGTTGAAAAATCTGATGGGTTTTCTTTTTTTTTTCGTTTTTTTTTTTTTTTTTATGTTTTTTTTGTTCCCTTCTTCTTCTTCTTCTTGTTTTCTTTTGCAGAGAAAAAATCATAACCGGAAAAGTTTTATATATATATATATATTATTCGCGACAATAAAACGTTCGATGAACGAACGAGGAAACGAACAAACAAACAAACAAACACGTTTGCATGACGTTTTTAAATGCGCAATTATAATAAATCCATATATGAACAACTATATATATATTTAAGAGTTACTTTAAGAATTATTAGTTTTGTAATTTGTTTTCTAACCATTTCACAAAACAAAACAAATTTATTGTTTTCCTTGTTTTTGAAACTTTTGGTTAACAAAAAAAGTTTTAAAGTTCGTTTTAAATAAAACAAAATCAAACCAACGGAAAAACTTATGAATGTTTTATATAACAATCCGACATTTATACAAAAAAAAAAAAAAAAACATTTACTTCCTTTTATTATTTTATTTACGAATATCGATGTACAAAACGTAAGAAAAACTTTTTACACATGTTAAAGAAACGAGTGCGTCATTTAACAAAAAAGAAAAAAAAATGATTATTTCGAAACGGAGTACGGGATTGGTCGGCGAAATGACCAATCAAAACTTTTTACGATTATTTAAAATCACGTGATTTGTTCGCGACGTGTCCCTGTGCGTGTGGGTATTTTATTATAAAATTAAATCTATTACGTATGTGACGTCATGTGTTTGTTTTCTAATATAATTTTTGGCGGGAAAATTTAAATTTGCTTTTTTTTTCCCTTCCGTTTTGTTTTTCATCGCGATTTTGTTGTATACTTGAGGCGATTGTTACGGAAAGGGGTAGAAGGGGGAAAGTATTTGTTAAAGTGGATTTTTTGTAGGGAAACACTCGAGAAGGATTTATGGGGGGAGGGATTTTTGCGGGGGGTCTAGTGGTGTTTTTTTATTTCGAAATCGAAAAAAAAAATTTTTCTTTTTGTTTTTTTCTTTTGTTTCGAACGTTCGAAAACCCCGTTCCCCCTCTCCCCCCGTTAAAAGTTCCCAACGGTAGAAAAAGAGAGGATCCTTAATATAAAAACCTTTTCTTTCATCCTTTCTTTATTTTATTCCTTTTTTTTTCCCTCTTTTTTTTCCCGTCACTTCTTAAATTTATTCTTAACTTAGCCCTTTGGTAAAACTTTTTTCCTTTCCTTTTTCACCGTCGTCATTCTTTTATATTGACTTGTTTATATTCTTTCCCCTGCGCCTTCTCCTTTCCCTTCCCCCCTTCGAATTTTCTCTTTTTCTTCCTTCGAGGGTTTTCTTTTTTCTTCTTCTTTTATACAGAGGAATAATATGTGTAACTAGAATTTATCACACTATTTTAGTTTTTTTTTTTTTTTTCCCGCTCGGGATTGATATTAAAGTTTTAAATTTTAATCCATTTTTATTTGAAATTGTCTTTCTTCTTTTCTTTTCTTCTTTCTTTCTTACTTTCTTCCTTCCTTCTCATTTTTCTTTATCCTTTTTTTTATTTTAAATTTATTTTTTGAGAAGAATAAAAAAAAAAAAAAAAAATCAGTTTTGTGGCATTTTCTTGTTCCGTTATTGGTTAATATCGTGTTTACAACGTCTTCGGCTTTTCCTTCCTTACTCATAATCCATCCTTTCCGCAAATTTATACTTAAATCATTGTAAAACTTATGTAAATTTCTTATTAATTGAAAAATATTTAACAACACCGTCATAATAATAATGATAATGATAATAATGATAATAATAATATTATTTAAATTATAAAGTTTCGTAAAGTTTTGTGTTTTCACTTGTAACTTTCACACGCTTATCTCCTATAAAATTTTCGGACCCTTAATACGGGTACTTAAATAATTTTGGAAACAACGAAACATTATTTTCCATTAAACAATTTTTTTCCTTTTTCCTTTTTTTTTTTTGAACCTTTCATGTTATAATAATAATGATGATGATGATAATAATACGTTAAATAAATGCGAGAAATAAACTCGAGTTGAATAAAAAAATTCGAATGTTAAGAAAAAATTAAGGAAAAAAAGAAACCTCACAAAACAACCGACAAACAATTTCCACGTGATTGTTTATCAATGAAAGTGAATGATAAAAACAGGTAGTAGGTTGATTAAGTCAGGTATTAAGATAAGAACGCGAGGTATGAAATTGGGGAGAACCTATTAGAAGTAAAAAAAAAAAAAAAAAAAAAAAAAACGGTGAAAAAAAAAAAAAAGAAATCTGTTGTGAAAACATTTAAATATCGACCGGATGTGAAAAGTTAAAAAAAAACCGGAAACGATTTACTTGGGGGGAGGGGGAAACTCCTGCCGCAATCAATTAAAAAAAAGGAAAATGATTAATCTTTAAATTTAAATAATAAACATCACCATCAACGATATAAAAACTCTGAGTAAGCGCGTTACATTTGAAACCTGAAACGAAACCTTTCGATTAAAAAATATTAATGATAATAATAATAATACATGGAATTATTCCAGTGAGAGAGAGACTCCAGTAAAAAAAAAAAATTGGTTCGTTCGTTTCGTATTAGCATAAAACAAAATTTTTTTATTTTTTTTATGTTTTATTTTTTTGCGGACTTTATTTTTATTATATTTATGCTTTTATATATATCGTAAAAAAAAAAAAAAATTTTTTTTTATTATTGTTTTCACTACTTTTTCATGACGTCATTTCCTTTCGGGGAGAAAAAAAAAAAAATTTTTTTTATTATTATTATACGATGTCGCGTTTTTTTTTTTTATATTAATCCATCCATCGAACGAATCGATCCATCGAATTCATTCTTATAA